CTCATTCATTAAAGGAGGGCCAAGCAGGGTCATTGGACCCTCACTGAAGTATTCAGTCACTCTTCCCAGCCTACTGTATATAATTTGGCCCTAATCACACATGGCCTCCTGGATTTGGAGAAGGCTAAAGTATACAATCTAGGGGAAGCTAGGAAGAGCAGGCATGACCCATGCTGGGTAAAGGCTTTCCGGTGTGCCCACCCTCAGGGTATACATACACACCTCAGCAACCCCTCAGTTACCTCAATAAGTAAGCTCAATGAATTCATTGGTTCCCTAGTAAAACTTTAATCAAACATTGGCTCAATACTAAGAATAAGAATTGCTTAGCATCCCCAGGAAAAGAAGTTTCACAACAGATGGAAAATTTATTTGTTAATGCTATTATGTCTTATAATTATTTTAAAAAATAGAAAATGAGAATGTAAAAGATGTTAAAAGGATATGGGAATGGAGATATTTTCCAAAATAGAAAAAATGAGAAAGCCTAAGCAAGTGATGAAGTCCTGTGTAGGTTTGTTATGATGTATAAAGGATGAGGCAAAAATAATATATACATAATCTTAAAATTTCTATGGTCATAGTTTAGTCAGTTAGTTTAAGGAACAAAACATATACCTAGTCAAGGTTTATCTGAGAACATTTGGTTTTTTACTCCAATCTTATCTACATAACACATGGTAATTAAAAGTACCAGACTGGTGGAACTAACCTTACTGGATGTTTAACAGCCATAGTTTGAGGCCTATACTAATGTGGTCAGAGGGACTTAAAGGACAGTTTTTGCCCCTTGTCCTCCAAGGTCGACTAAGTTCCATGGGACTATAGAACATTTCTCAAAATGTCCTGTAACTGTGGTGAGTCACCTGTCCTCTTGTTCAGGGAGGACATGGAGACCCCACGAGATGGACTTGAACCAGTGTCCAGTCTATGAAGAGGAGGGTCAACTCAGAGGAAACATCTCACTTATGCTTCCAAGTGAAGCCAGCCATGGTCAAGCAAGATCTTTGACTTATCTTGACACAGATGGAACTGGTAAAGAAAAGGAGCCAGGAGCTCCTCTCAAGACCATGTGACCCCTGAGGAATAGATCCTCAAACAACCTTAAGAGTAATAATAAATTGATTTATTTGGGCCAACTGTATGGTCTTAAACACCCAAAGGAAAGTATAACCAAAAAGGAAAGTCATCAACATATTTCTTTAAGACTTCAAGGGATTACACTTCCCAGACATTAGGCTTAAGTCTATATAAAAAGTTATTTAGACATTATTTCTCATTGATTATTTTGTTCCTAACCAGAAAGTGCTGCTCAGATGTAAGACTTCAAATCTTGGTCTCCAATACTGTAGTGCCCACCTGTAGCTCAGGGAGACAACCCACTATTGTTCTAAAATGATGGATAAATTTGTTTTCTCCCCCAACTAGAAGTCTTTGAGAGGGAATTGACACTGAGTCTAACCACTCCAACAGCTATCAAAATACCTGAAAGCAAATCCTGAATTCATCACTCTGGAGTCCAGCCCTGGAAGACAAAAGAAAAATGAGGAGGAACCAAATAGAGGGATGCTTTTGGAAGCCCTTGTCAAGAAATTCCAATGGACTCTCATATGAACATTTGAAATTTTCCCTGCTCTGACTTTTTTCTAGTTCCCTGTCTAGAACTTGTAATCCTAATTACTTTTTGCTTTACTTCTCCTTCGCATCCTCTATTCACCACTCAAGAACTTTCTTTGCCCCTACAGATATGAGTTATGCAATTTGGGAGTCTTTTAAATAGACCCACTGAAAGGGTACCCCAATTGCCTCACCCTGTGTCCCTGTTCAGCATGGAAGAAGCCTGAGTGGTCTGTGTCCTGATTCTCTACTAGCAATTTGGGTAACCTCTTTAGAGGATGGTGTGATAAGAATAGGAGGTAGGAATTGGCTAGGCAGTTAGGGTAAAAAGACCCCAAAGAAAAGTAGCCAGTTTCTTGGCTAAATGTCAAAATGCCCTTGGGCCTCTTAGCAACATACTCTGTTCCAAAGGCCAAAAATGTCAAAAGTCTTTGGGAGCTTGAACTAATCCTTAAAAGATTTTAGGGTTACATCTTCAGATGTGGGACTGTTAGAATAGCCAAAAGCCCTACAAAAAAATCAAAGAAGAAAGAGTACATGAAGTTATCAGAAAAAAGTGATGGGAAGATATGAGAGGAGCTGGAGGGGAGGGAGTGGACATGGATTTGATCAAACACCTTTATATGCATGTATGAAATTCTCAATAAAGTATTTATTGTAAAAAAAGAAAAATAAGCTACTCTCAAAATAAAAGAAAAGAAAAGAAACAGCAACTGTTCTAGAGTTATGCATCCCTCACTTCTGGAAATCTTTTTGTTCTATATTGGTTGAGGCTACACATTTTGGAGTTTAATTTCTGAACTTGGGGACTATAGAGATGACTCAGCAGTTAAGAGCTCTAGCTGCTCTAAGTCTACTTAGGTAGGTGTTGATTATCCCCAAGATAAAATGCCACTTCTGCTCTTGCAGAGGACACTCTTCCGTTCCCAGCACCCACAGTGGCTAATCATCAGTAATTCCAGTTCCAGGGGATCCAGTGCCCTCTTCTGGTCACCATAGGCATTGCACTTACAAGTGCACTTAGCAGCATGCAAGGTAAACACTCATACACATTAAAAAATAAATAATTTTGAATTTTATTAATCATGAGACCTCAAAAAATTGTCATTCCCTGCTTATCCATTCCCTTATAAGCTGAAATGCAGGACAAAAATTATATATATACATATATATATATACACACATGTATGTTTATGTACATTCACACATAAACTAGACTACTGCCTGTTATCTCTGAGATTACATTGTTTACTTGGCATCTTAGAAACACATTAACTGTGTCAATTATGAGATAAATTAAAGACAAAAGCAAAAATTGGCTGGTTTGTTTTCTGACTCAAATCTTTACAAAGCCTATTGAACAATCTCTTCATCTATTCTTCCCTCTATAATTTCCTTCTCTAAGCAGGTATACATCTATCATCAGCAAAAATGAAGCTACATGATAACTTTCAAATAAATACTGAACAATGTTTTATTTCAAGGTCACACAATATTTCCAACTGTAAATGCCAGAAAAAAATGGTGTAATGTAGCAGTGTGGATACAAAGTCTAAACAATAATGAGTTAGTTACATACTTCATAAGCTTTAAATTAACATTTTCCACACCTTTAAAAAATACAATCAGGGCTGGAGAGATGGCTCAGCAATTAAAAATACTGGTTGTTCTTACAGAAGACCCTGGTTCGAATCCTAGCACCCACATGTCTGTAACTCCAGTTCCAGGGGATCCAATAGCCTCTTCTGTCCTCCACAGTCATTGCATGACATAGGTGCACTTACTTACATGCAGGCAAGGCACACATACACATGAAATTAAAATAATAAAATACTAAAAATACAATCTTTGAAATAATATATTTTCTATGGGACTATACTAATAATCACTGGGGGAAATATAAAGACAGAAATATAGATGTTTATTGTTTTTCTTAAAAATTGATATATATTTACTTTCATTTACATGTTTGTAGTTGTAATTACTAAAACTGATTATTTTTTTTTATAGAATCTGATTATGTAGCTTTGGCTGACCTGAAACTCATATGTAGCTCAGGCTGGTCTTGAATTCATAGAGATCTGCCTGCCTCTCTTGCCTCCCAAATACTGAGATTAAAGGCATGTGCCACCATGCCTAGTCCTAAATTACTTATTAATGAATAAAAATTGTTATATTGAAGGATTTTTTCTTTCAAGAATGCTTTTTCTCTGTGCATAAGGATTTTATTTCCATGAGGTGAGTTTGGACTTTGGCAATATGGAGACAAGAGCAATTTTTATGTATTTACAATTTTTAACATTTACTTTGCAATGCTGTTTTGCAAATGTTAACACTGGATGCCCTGGTGGCACTAACAGCCTGCACACAGTAACTTACAAATCCCAGCATTTGTTCATCCTCAACATTTTGAGCTAGATACTAGCACTCATATGCATTTTAGAAACAAGAAGCTAGAGAGAGCTTCGACAGGTGGAATCCCCTGTCCCAGTGGACAGATCTTTCAACCTGGCAGCTGTACCTGCCTCTGAAAGCCAGGGTGAGAAAAAGGAATGACAAAGGATAGCGTTGAAAGCTTTAAGCGTCTTATCAGAATCACTAAAAGCAAAATACACCACAGTTGTTTCTCTAGTGGGGAAATCAAGTCACAAGAGCAGGAAAGCTCATATAAGGTGGAAAAGAAATGAGATTTGTCTCCATAAAGCAAGTAAGTAGGATGGGATCGTGACGCAGCACTTACGCATTTCACAGGTTCACATCTTTTCCGACTTGGGCATACAAAGCCCACTACTCCCACTAGACATCAACACTGATGTCCTTGATCTATCAAGCACTTGAAAAAACACCAGGGACTGTACACCTGAGCGCCTTTGCAGTACTCCCTCCCCTAGCCACTCCAAGAAATGACCAGGTCTTTCTTTCCTGAATTCATGGACATCTCTTACACCTAAATGTGGTCCTCCAGTTTGGGATGTTCCAAAATTTCACAGAGGAAGGAAACTATGTAAGATTACAACACTTTGTCCTAGGTTAAACATGAATCAAGCTTTTGACACAGCTTTCCCCAGAGCCTCATGAACGGATATGACACAAAAATCATGCTTGTTAAAGAGCATATGTGTTAAAAATCACAAAAATTCATGTTTGTTAAATAGTAGTAGCAAGCCTCTCTTGTGTGCAATCTGAGATGAATATATTTCAGCAGTGTACTTATGCAGATGTAAATAATAGTCAGCCACAAGTGGTGTATATACAGAGAAGTAGCACCCCCACCTTAACTCCTCTAATCCTAATAACTAAAGTTCCTCAAACTGTCAAGTCCACTGATGATCATGTGAGGAGTCACTAGGCACCAACTGTCCTCTAGCAAACTGCCACGCCCTTCCTCTTGGCGGTTTGGGGCAAGACTTGAACTTCTTCCACAGATAGGCACAGCAAGGCAGATGGCACCCAAGTGTCCCCAGCCCATTCAGCCCAGGGGCCAGGTGACGTCATACTTCCGGGTGAGAGATACTGAGCTCTGGGGATTTCTCTGGCCTTTCCCACCGCCTTGCATAAAAGGGGCTCGCTGGGCCCAGGGAGCACCAGATCGCTCTCAGCGCCTCCCATCAATCAACTCCTGCATTCCAGGCTCTCACGACTCTCCTGTCCAGCATCATGGTCCGCGCCGCCGGCGTCCCGCTCCTGCGCTCCGCGCTGCTGCTGCTGCTCCTGCTGGCCACCAGCCAGACCACAGGTGGGACCAGCGCCCTGCGGTCCTCAGGATGAGGCTCCGAGCGCCGCCCCCACCGCCCCGCTAACCCAGTGTCTTCTCCCGCAGGGGCTCCGGTGGCCGCCGAGCTGCGCTGCCAGTGCCTGCAGACGGTACAAGGGATTCAACTCAAGAGCCTCCAGAGCGTGAGGATGACGCCCCCGGGAGCCCACTGCAGCCAGACCGAAGTCATGTGAGTGCCTCCCACAGCCCTGAGACCACAGTCGCCCGCACCTGCTGTCCCCACCTCAACCCAGGCAAACCTGCGCCTTATACCTGTACTCCCTTCTCTCTACAGAGCCACTCTCAAAGATGGACGCGAAGTTTGTCTCGATCCTGAAGCCCCTATGGTTCAAAAGATCATCCAGAGAATTCTGAGCAAGTGAGTTGTGATTTGTTTTGTGCTTGTGACAGGAATCATGGGTCAGAATAATGGCATTTGACTCTTAAAATTACATCAGGGAAAGTCGGTGTTTAGCTAAAGATCTAAAGTTTGTTATTATTTTCATAGTTAAGCTTAAGATCATTAATTTACTCTGATGTCAGAAAGATATATCCTGCTTTGGCCATCCCCACTCAAAACCCCTTCTCAAATGGATAGTGACAATGTGTGTACTTAGAAGAGTAAGTAGAATTGGCCAGTGCTGCTATAAAGCCCGGTACTTACTAAGGCACAATATTTACCTTTTCACCCTAAGGTGTCTTTGAGCTGCAAAGTGTAACCCCTGGTTTGGGCCAAGTCGTGCCCCGGAAGCTTCTTGATGAAGAAGAGCAGGGCCTTTGCAGTGAGAGCACTCTAAGTTCAAGTCTAGGCTCCACCACTCAACTTGTCTGAAAGTCAAGAAAAATGTACTGTGTGCTCATAGTGTTTGCTCTCAAGCTTACTAGAGATGATATCTGGGTATTTTGATCCCTGTATAATACAGTCTTGACTTTTTGAAGATAATGGAGTCATGGCTTCAGGTCTACAATTCCCAATTTGACCACAGCCAGGGTGTATTTTGCTAGACAGGGCAAGAGTGGTTCAGATAGGTACTTCCTGGTTTGAGGCTGGGGGTGACTGCATTTGGAGAATCCCCAGAGTTCCAAGATGAAGGTAGGCGAAGAGGGCTGTGCTGTCTGCTTTGAGTACCTACAACAGCAACTATTTTCTCACCACAGAAACAAGGCTAACTGACCTGGAACATCCAGATGGGAAGTATAAGCTGCAAGGAGAGGAACCACAGAGAAAACAAACAACCATACGTGGGACAACTCGACTGTGTCTCACGATTTCTTATGAAAGCTGTTCTATTTATTTATGTATGTATTTATTTATTTTTTGATGATCATATGTTAATATTTATTATTATATTTAATGTGTTTGGTCATAGTCCAGTCAGAGACTATGTAAATTCAACTGATTTTATTGTTATTGTTTTGTTACTACTAAAAAGTCTATTCAGTAACAAACAATTGTTGAAAACATTGGAAGATTTGTTTGTATGAAAAGTGTCAATGAAATGATAGTTGTTGATTTTAATAAAAATTTCTCAATCCTTTAATATCAGAAAATATAAAATAAAAAGTCAGTTATTTTACTTATTTATTTGGAAGATGATGGATTTTAAATGTGTTCATTCATACCTTTGGAAGGGGGGAGTTGAGTTCTATATCACACCACTCTGTGATAGAGACCAGGCATAAGTAGTGGATGGTAGTCAGATGTAATCAGATGTAGTTAGATCACTGTTAAGGTAGAGGTGTGCATGTACACATCAATTTTTGTAACTATTGTAAAGAATGTCAACTGTTATTTATTTTTTCAGTATTTGCATAGTATGTGGTCAACATTTCTGATGTTAATATTTCAAGAACTATAATTTCTAGTATCCCTTGGACATTTTATGTCTTCTTTGTAAGGCACAGTGCCTTGGCTAGCAATAATTATGCCATGTTTTTCTGTATCTTGGAGTAGATACATTTATTTATTGATGTACTTTTGCAAATAAAAAGAAAATAAAGCTCTCATAAAAATACCATGTTTGTTTTAAATGTCTTTTGTTCCTCCAGAGTACCCATGGTGTTAGGAATCCATACTTCAGTCATAGATCCTACCAGGGACAGTAACTGACTGAAGTCACCCGTATTTCTCTCAAAAAGGCATTTTTCTTAATTGAATGTTTGTGCATTTTACACAATAGGTTTTAATCATATTTAGACCCACTCCCCTATCTGTCCCCTGTATAGTCCCCCACACACACACTGGATTTCATGCATTATGTCATATACATTAAAACCTATCGAATCAAGTTTGGGTCCCCAGATGTTCTTCAGTGTGAGTTCATCCACTGGAGCCTAGTCAGCATATCTGATGCCTTTTCAAAGCCATTCAGGGTCCATCTTCAAAAAAATCTTTTTTCTCATACATTTTTTCATTAAAACCAACTTGACATTCAATGCTAGAGCTATAATTTTTTTGAAATTTTAAGATTTTTAAAAAAGAAATATATTTAAATTATTTTCCCATTTTTTTTAATAATGCATTGTTCTCCTTTCTGGTCCCCTAAATTGCAATAAAGTGGTGAATGCTTCTTTGGCACTCAATTTGTGCAATAAGTATAAAAGTTAGAAGTAGCTGGGTACGCACGACTTTAATCCCAGCACTCAGGAGGCAGAGGCAGGCAAATCCCTGTGAGTTCAAGGCCAGCCTGGTCTACATAGTGAGTTCCAGGACAGCTGGACCTACAGGGAGACCCTATCTCAAAAAGACCAAAAAAAAAAAAAAAAAGAAGGTGGCTGAGTGTTTAATCTGTGAAAAAGACTCTTTACAAAGGGTTTTATCTTACCTTCAGGGAGAGGTAACAACCAACAACCACGAAATTTAATGCTGTTCCAGTGCTGCCCAGGTTTAAATGCTCTCTAAGCCAGCGAGTTTGGGTTTAAATTGCCCAAAATGACGTACAGTTAACTCCAGAATAGAAATAAAGACTTTCATCTCAGGTAGGCAAAGATCTGAGTCTTTGGAAATACCTTCCAGACCTGAACAGGAGGAAAGGGTGTGCATGTAGGAATCTGAGTGCTTCTGTGCATGCACGAGAGGAGAGAGAAAGAGAGAGAGAGAGAGAGAGAGAGAGAGAGAGAGAGA